AGGTTGTGATCTACTTTATCAAATGCCTTACTGAAGTCCAAGTAAATTATGTCCACAGCATTCCTCTGATCCACTAATTTTGTCACTTGGTCAAAGAATGCAATAAGATTTGTCTGGCATGATCTATTTTTGACAAACCCATGTTGGCTTTTAGTAATGACTTTGTTTGCCTCTAGGTGTTCGTTGATTCGTTGTTTGATTATCTTTTCCAGGATCTTCCCAGGTATTGAGGTCAGGCTGATAGGTCTGTAATTTCCTGGATCCATTTTTTTTCCTTTTTTGAGGATGGGAACTACATCAGCTCTTTTCCAGTCCTCTGGTAGTTCCCCTGTGTTCCAGGATCTTTGAAAAATATAGTTCAGTGGCTCCGATATCACATCTGCCAGTTCCTTGAGAACTCTGGGGTGTAATCCATCTGGTCCTGGCGATTTGAACTCATCTAGGCTGGACAGGTGCTCCCTAACGATTTTCTTGCCTATCTTAACTTGTGTTTCTGTTTTGTTTTTTATGGCACTATTTTTGATAGGTTGGTCTGTTTTTTCCCTTTGTGTAAAGACAGATGCAAAAAATGAGTTAAATAGTTCTGCTTTCTCCCTGTTGCTTGTCACCTTCTTGCCACTTCCACCCACTAATGGACCAATCATTTCCTTCACTTTTTTCTTGTTTTTTACATGTTGAAAGAAGCTTTTTTTGTTATTTTTGACTTTGGTCGCAAGCCTTAGTTCATTTTGAGCCTTGGCTTTCTTCACTTCATCTTTGCATGCTCGGGCTATTTGCTGATATTCTGACTTAGTTATGTTCCCCTCTTTCCACTTTCTATACTTGTCCTTTTTATCTTTCAATTTGTCAGAGAGTTCTTTATGCATATGCATATGTACCGAGTTTCCCCCAAAATAAGACATATATATATATATATATATATATATATATATATATATATATATATATATATATATATATATATATGTATAGTACAAATAAAATACGAACACCAGGAGAGTATAAATATAAAAATATACTTTACTAAAAGCTGCCAAGCTTTCGTTTGGAAACTCCAAACATCATCAGGGCTAAGGAGCCAGTAAACAATGATGACTTAAATGGGTTTTGCCGGCATCTGCACCCGGCTCATGGACCGCGTCACCGGTCCCGGCCGGTTAATTAGTGTTCCAGATTGGCTGGGGGGGTTGGCTGTGCTCTGATTGGCTGGGGGAGTGTTCTGTTTGGTTGTGCTCAGGTTAGTCTGAGTTGCAGGGGGGTTTAAGATTTTGGGCTGCCTTGCTATTTTTTTTTTTTTTTTTGGTTGTGGTCAGGTTAGTCTGAGTTGCAGGGGGGTTTAAGATTTTGGGCTGCCTTGCTATTTTTTAAGCCAACCCCACAGCCAATCAGAGCACAGCCAACTCCCCAGCCAATCAGAGCACAGCCAAGCCCCTAACCAATCAGAACACACCTCCACCCAATCAGAACACAGCCAAGCTCCCACCCAATCAGTTCATACCCCCACTGGCAGTTAAAAGGAAGAAACAGCTAAGACCACACATTGCTGCTCGAAGCACGAAGCTGAAAACACCAGCCTGAAGATGACGAATGGGACTTCGTCGAAACGTCGCCAAGACACTTCCAATTTTACGTGGGAGAAAACCCGAACAACCAAAGACCTACATACAAATACCCGCGAAAACCTCAGAAAACAAATATATATATATATATATATATATATATATATATATATATATATATATATATATATATATATATATATATATATATATATATAGTCTCCAAAAGATGCATTAGGGCTTACTTTCGGGGAAACACTAAAAAGCAAGCTGACAGATGGTTGGGCATAGTGGGTGGAGTGGGTGGGTGGAAACAGATGGAAGCAGAGGCATGGGGTGGGGGGGGTGAGGCAGGTCATCCCAACTGTCTGTTGGCTATAGGCCTCCAGAGCTGCCACCATTGAAACGGTGAATGGAGAGCCAGGCACACTGGCCAATGGCAAGGTGAGGTCCAGAGTGGGGTCTGGCCACCCACAGGTGGAACAGGAGGCCAGGGTGCCCCATCTCAGGCCCTGTGTGAGCACCTCTACCTGTGGGGGAGGTGGGTGGCTACCGAAGGGGGTGCCTCATCCCGCCTACTCTGCTGGCTTCAGGGCAAACTGAGACCAACCTCATGATTCGCTCCCACCTACAGGGAGGGCAAAGGGCTCTGTGGGGAAGTGAGGCAAGCGATGCAGCCCCGATGGGATCCAGAAGGAACTCACTGTGGTGCAAGCAGCCAGTTGAAGGCTCCCTCCTCCCTCACACTTCCCCCCATCTCAAGGAGCAGCTGAGATGGGGGTGGTGAGGGGCTGAATATGGTAAAGGGCAGCTCATCTGGACTCGCCACAACCCATCTGCCCCCCCAACAACTAAACTCCCTGAGCAGAGTTGGTCTCACACATCTCAGGGGGTAACTTAGCCCCCAAAGTCTAGCATAGGGTCCCAAGAGTCCCAAAATCTGACTTTGTTCCCACCCTCCGGCAGTGGCATTCAGGCCTCCACAAGTAAGGCGGGGTTGAGACCAACTCCAGTGACCTGATGGACAAATCACTCTTGGCTCTTCCTGTCAGCTGCCCTCCCCCCTGAGGTGCTCCTTCCTGCCTGACAGTGGAGGAGGAGGTAATCTGCCAGGCAGGGCGGGGGTGGCAGGGACTGAAGAAAGCCCCTCCAGTGGCAGACAAGGCTGATGCCATTCTCCTCCACTTCCTCCTGGCTCCAAAACAGCAGAGGGGGACCCGATAAGGGAACCAAGTAAAAGTGAAAGGGAAGAGGTGGATGGGCAGCTGGGTTGGAGATCACCGTGCGGGGAGTGGCCTGGCGGGGGGCTGAGGTGCATGGGTACCGGGTGCGTGGGGCAGCTCCACCCCCTGCCTCGCTTCACCTCATGGAGGTGCCACATGGCTTCCTGCCCCGTTGCAGCCTCAAGCAATGGGACAGAGTGGTTGGGGTTCTTAATTAGGACTTATTTTGGGGGTAGGTCTTATATTAGGCACATGCATAAAAATCAGGCTAGGGCTTATTTTCAGAGAAACCACAGTACATATAATGTAGTTTTATTTCTGTCATGGATTCCATCATGTAAGAGACAATCTTAGGTGTCTGCTTGTGCTCTCATTCAGGATTTCTCCCTTTATAGCCATTCATCCTCCAAATGCTTTTGATGGACATTGCAGTCTGAACAGCAAGAGATTGGGAGAGCAGTTCTACATATTTCCTTGCAGGTTGCTTGTGTCTCATTTATTTCATCTTTGCTGCAAAGGTTGGGAAAGAAATTTTACCATGGATGATGTTTCCTGTCCTTCTCCAAGCATTTTGAATAATTAAATGATTAGGCTTTCAACAAGAAAAAAAAGCAAGGCTTGTCATGTTGTCGGTGTGTATACCCTTGCTCCTTCTTGAGGCTCTGTTGTGTGGGGGGGGGCACGCATGCACATGCACACGTCTGTGTGTGTGTTCACTTTAATTTCCATAAAACCCAAAACCTTATCAGAAAATCTAATAGCCATGCCAAGACTACAGCTGTCTATGGAATACCAAAAACACAGGCCTAAAATTATGAGAACACTGCTCACATCGATCACAGTATGACAAAGAGAGCAGGAGCTTGTATTCATTCAAGTGTTCTGCTGGAGTCACAGGCCACTGACAAGCAAGGACAGATTCTAAAAATAGTGATGAATCTTAAAGCAGTAACATGGAACTTGCTAACTTATTTCCAAATGTTTCAGCAAGCTCCTCTTCTAAAACATTTCACAAGAGCCCTTGGAACATGAGGCCATTAAATATATCAAGACAGCACTCTAGTTTACCCTTCTCTATTTTAGCAAAGGTAACATATTGATGTAGATGTTGTTGTTGATATAGAAATAGATATAGATAGATATACTGTAGATACAGTACATATATAGAACCATACACTTATCCATATCTATCTATTCCAAGGTTCAGATAATAAAGCTCCCACTGGCATCTGAAATTATCTGCAATCTGTAGGGGGTGGTTGAGACAAAATGTCTCACTTTTTGTTCTATATTTTTGCTACTCTGTTTATCTCAGCATTGGGGTCAATTTTCACCAAACAAATAAGCTAATGGATTGGTTTCTTAGGTGGGCTAGAGATTGCTGCTTCAACTAACTATAATAGGGCATCATGTCCGGACCAAAGAGTTGCTGATAACACTGCCGGCATCATTTTGTGATGCCGTGTGAGGTGAATGAAAAGCTTGACCTGTGGAAGCCCTCAGAGAAGTGAAAAGGATTTGCCCATTTGCTGTTACCCAAACCCACATTTTTCTTAACCACTCCCACGTTTGGTGTTTGCTTTAAAAAAGAGCCAACTATTTGATACTTAATCAAAACAAGGAACAGTCTTCAGTTATACTGTTGTCTTTGTGTGTTTGTGTATGTGTATGTGTGTGTACTGTGGGTCCCTTTTTCCCTTGTTGGAAACTCCTCTGATTATAAATGCAGTTTCCTTTCATTTGACATGGGAAACAGATGAAAGCTCTAAACCAGATCTCACATTTAACAGAAAACTATGCCAAAACTTTGCTCTGGGTGCATATGTGCTATAATTCTGCCCACTCTACAGCATTTAACTCCTCTCCAGAAGCCACCAATTTCTGATTACAAACAGTGAAAGTAGTCCAGAAAAGTATAGCTCTTGCTTTCTTTCCTCTCTCTGCCTATTGTCTATCTAGACAGATACAGGGATTGAACTGGTGCCCTATAAACATATGGCTCTTGTCCTGCTTTTATCTTATTTATTTTTATTTATCAAACATAGCATACCATAGCATATTCAAAAAGCCTTTTCAAAGATTGGGGGGGGACCAAAGATACAGCATGCTGTCTTGCTCTGTATATTGAATGTTACTTTGGTGAGCTGGTTAATAACTAAAAATAATGCCTATAAATAATGCTTGGAAACTTCTCCTCCTGCTTTGAACATGCAATGATATGGAAGGTATCATTACTATTTTGGCTCCTTCTGCTGAAGTCCTGCTAAATTTCTTTTCCAGGACTGAAGATCTGAGTCCAAGGAAGGGAAAGCGATGTCTGGAGGGAAATTATGACATTTACTGCCATGACAGAAAAATTTGATCTGCCAATGGCAGATTACAACCAGCCCAAGCTTCTTTATTGCAGCAATGGAGGTCAGTTCCTGAGAATCCTTCCAGATGGCAAAGTGGATGGCACAAGGGACCGGAACGACAATCACAGTAAGCTGCTACTATTGTTATTGTAGCTGTTATTTTTGATCCAAATAGTGGCTTAGTGGCTTTCTATTCTCTCTATTCTATTCTCTTAGTGGCTTTCAGCTTTGTGGCATTGCAAAAGATTTGGAGGCATCTGCTGTGTGAAGACCAAATTCTGGCACAATCCATATAAAAACATATCATTCTGTCACTTCATAGGGGTAGAATAGCAATAGCAATAGCACTTAGACTTATATACTGCTTCGCAGTGCTTTATAGCCCTCTCTAAGTGGTTTACAGAGTCAGCATATCACCTCCAACAATCTGGGTCCTTATCGACCTTGGAAGGATGGAAGGCTGAGTCAACCTTGAGCTGGTGAGAATCGAATTGCCGAACTGCTGGCAGTAGAAACAACATGCACAGACCTGTCCCTATCCCTATCCAGTTGAGTGGTCCTGATACATTCTGGCTGATATAACAAAGCATCGGATTTCTTTTTAGAGCATTACCATAAATAAGATGACAAATGCTACACGCACATCCACATCCACGTACACTGAAGTCAAATCAGTTAAATAGTCAGAAGTAACCTATCCAAAGTCCATTAGATTTTTCAAGTGTGGTGTTAATTAATTAAATCATTAAACATAAATTGTAGTTGGGTATATCTAATACAAGCAGAGCCAGGAGACCTAGATTCTATTTATAAAATTACTTTGGGGAAAATTGGGATGTAGGTCAGGTCCTTCCTCTCTTCAAATTTACTGGATAGCTGAGTGGAACATCTAGGAATCTTAGGAGGCTTTCATTCTGAAACTAGGATGCAAATTCTCCATTGGCCAAGCATTTAGCCACATGTATCAGGAGGGTCTCCTTGCCTCTTCCTCCTGCATGTATTCATTGATCATTGTCTGAACTCAGCTATAGATGGATAAGAACTGCCATCTCATTTGCATTTGATTGATGCCAATTTGCCATGGACTCTGGGGAGAGGGTGTTGGATAGGAGGGGGAAAAGCTCATTACATACCATACCTTCTGGAGACACAACCTCAATGTCAGAACTGCATGCAGCTGCATACCACCCAGCCCACAATTGGAGACTGTTCCCTAAACAATTTATTCGAATATGATTGGACAATGGGAGATCAGCAGTGAGAAGTAGCTCAAGGGGGTAAAGTTAAATTTGGAGATCTTGGTACCCAATTTTCAGTTCTGGCTTTGCTCTACTGACTTCTGCTTGACCTTTAGTAAATTATACCTTTTTCACCAAATGGAGTCAGGGATTATTCTTACTTAAAGATTCTAGCTAGCTGATGTAGGGCTGACACTACTTCAGTCTCCAAATATTCTCCTCTCCTTCTTTTAGTCAGAGAAAGGATCGGATATGTTGTATCAGAATAACAAAGCTCCAAGTGAAGACCCATAATGAGATTGTATGCAAAATTGCTTGCTGGCAATATCTTCTGAAAGAGAGTGCCATTATTTTTTTTTAACATTTCCCCGCCCTGAGTATATTCAATTAATTGATCCAAATAGGAGGAAATATTATTCCGTGCTATTACATAGCACTTACCAACAGTTTACAAAGGCTATTTCTGGATCTGGGCAGATGTGGATCCATGACAGTCGTGAATCGCCTTTAATGTCTAACTGGTCCCTTTTAACAGATTTATAATTTGGAGGAGGAAAAGATCTCCACAGTCTTAAACATAATATTTGTCAGGATTACACTGTTGGACCCCTGTTCATTTGGACTAAATCCATTGACAGTTGCCTGTATGCCTTTAATCACATCTATTATTACATCTATGTATTGAAAATAACGCCACACAGTGTGCAAAGTGGTGAAGAAATAGCATCCCTGAGCTAAGTTGAATCACGGGGAGGGGATGCCAAATATCATTCCGTCTGAGAAAATAATGGGCTGAGCTCTAAAAAAAAACCTCTTTGATTTGGTCCATGAAGGAATGATTCTTTCCTCTGAGCATATCTCCATACCTCAGACATACCCAGGAACATCATATGCACTGTATAAATGCATGCATGCATGCGTGTGTGTGTACACACAAACACACACGTACATATATCAAAATTATGCAGAGAAATTGCAACATTTTTATCTAGGTTTCAGCCACAATAGCCCATCTTTTAGGAAATTTTACACCAGCAATTGACTTGTGGTTGTTGTTGTTGTTGTTAATTGCGAAGTCGTGTCCGACCCATCGCGACTCCATGGACAACGTTCCTCCAGGTCTTCCTGTCCTGACTTGTGGTACCAGTACGCTAAAGAGCACTACAGGAAAATTGGACGTGTTTCTGCTGTGGCAGCAAAAGCTATAAATATGTCTTATAAGTATTTAAAGCTTGTAGCTGCTCTCTTTTACATATATTACATCTTTTACTGATATTCCCTTCTTGATAATACCCATTGGCCTATTTGTTTGAAGTGGCATCCTTGCATTCATTTAAAGTTTGTTGTCTTGCCAAGACAAAATGCCTTTTATGTCTGTTTGTACAGGATAAATTCTCCGCTCAGATTCATTTTCCCGAGGGACTAGAATCTACTGAAAAGACTCATCTGTGCCAGAACAGCCTGGAAAGAGGAAATGAAAAGGCCAGAGAACCTGCGGAAGCCAATCTATATTTCTTAGGACACAAACAATTGGGTCTATTGGCCTCCGTGTGCCACACTCAATAATAATGCCCAATTGACTGAGAAAATGACAAAATGCAGCATTAGCCCTTATTTTACATATTATTAATCCAGAGCAGGAAGTTAGCTATTTTAGCCAGTGCAATTCTATTTCAGATTTAATAATCTTGACAATGGCCCCTCCAGCCAAATATTTATATACTAACAAGAAAGGTACAAAGCAAAATTCATCAATTCAGCTCTTGCAAAACACTCAGTCAGCTGCCTGAGATTTTGGTCTCCCCTATCAGCTGGAAAGGCCAGGAATAGAAGAGACAGGGCAGAGAGTGAACCCCCCCTCCTCTTGGGATAGGCTTTCCGGTTTGGTTTGGGATTTGTGTGTGTGTGTGCGCCCGTGCCTGCCTGACTGCCTGCCTTCAAATTAATCTTGACTCTTGGTGATTGCCTGGACAACCTCTGTAGTTTTCTTTGAAAGATTTTGGACTAACTTGCCATCCTCTGCTTCTTCTTAAGGATGAGAGATAATAAATGGCCCAAGGTCATCCAGCCAGCATCATGCTTAAAGTGGGACATTTGCTGGGAAGTTATTATTATTATTATGGTGGATTGCAGTCTCAGTCAAATGTTTAGGCTGGGTTTGGGATTTTGGTCCACTTATCAAGCCCTTCCAAAGGACATGGGATAGGCAGATGTTGTTGTTTAATAATATTAAAGGTATTGCTACAGGTTACATCATTATGGTTCATTGCGCAATCAGCCAGATGTTCAAATTGGATTTGGCACGTCTAGCTAGCAAATGGCTGATGTCGATATTTGATGGTATTATCATTTTGGCTCATCGCACAGTCAGCCAGATGTTCAGACTGAATTTGGCCAGATTCCGCTTATTGAGTCCTTCATAAGGATTTGAAATAGACAGATGTGGCTATATTAAAGGTATCATCACAGGATGTAAGCTATTATTATTATGGTTATTATTGGTATGCAGATGGTCCCGGATTTAGTGCTACCTAACACACTAGCTGCATTTAGCTGACTTTATTTAAGTTAAGTTAAACAGGATCAAACATGGTCAGTAGCTGAGTGGGAGACTTTTGGGGAATCCCAGGATTCTAGCCTAAACTATTAAGTTAAAAGAGAAATCCTACCAATGGCAAATGGCAAATGACTTCTGTATTGTAGTAAAGGAAGCTACATGGTTGAATCGCTACATCACCAACAAATGAGCTTCCCTCAAGGGAGATGAGCTTTAGTTATTAAAAAAAAATAGAGTTCCATTATTTCATTTTTCCATTATTCAACAGATTTATATCTGATAAGAAAACAATATGGAATTAGTTTGAAAACATGGGTGAAAGTGAAAGTTGCCAACATAAATCTTGATAAGATAGGGATTTTGTGCTGTCTATACAACTATCATCTCATCTGGAAGGGCTCTACATCTGCTAATATCTACCCAGTAGTAGTGCAATGTAGAAGAGTGGCCTTTGGCCTCTGATAGGAAGCACGTTTTCCCATGCTATCAGTTAATCTGGCCTTCTGTTTTATGTGCTTTCATGGTTTTACAGATTTGCTGTTTCCTTTATGAAGTGCATGAATCCACATTGTTTGTGCATGGTCTATCTAGTTCTACTTTGCACTTCTTTTGCATTTCTAATATATTAATCATACGGTATGTATACTATGAGAACCTTGAAATATTTGATGTTGGGATGAAATTCCTTGTCAGCGAAAACTGGATAAAGAAGTAGCAGAAGATGAAAGAATAATAAGATGAGCTTCACTGCTATTATTTGTACTACATCTAGACAAACAGTGTTTGATGGCACATCAGCACACCCACATACTGTATGCACAATAGCCTGGCTTCTGTGTGCTTCTCTTTGTATATCATGCATTGCTGAGCACTAATTTGAATCCAGATGGATTCCTTGGTGCAAGATGTGCTGAAGATGGAGTCAAATGCACATGCCAATTCCAAGAAAAACACTTACGGTATTTTAAAAAAGAAATCCACAAGAACACTTGGTTTTCTTCCCCTGCCCCAGCTCTGCTCTTTCTTTTTTTTTTCTGAAATCAGTTTATGGTTGAGGTTTATTAGAAATAGCATTTTCATACTCATGCTTGCACCCTCAACACAGGTCTGAATGAAGATGATCTCATCCTGAATAAACACAGCAAAGGACAGGCAGGAAGCTGCTAATGTAGAGTAAATTGGTATATAACCTTCTGAAATCTTGTTCAAGCAATAGAGATAAGAAAGCAAACAAGATAGAGATTCTGTAAAAGCACAAGTGTGCTTCCAGTTTTCCAGAACAAGCACAAGGCAAAATGCCACATGTTATGAAATCACTTATCAGGAATCTATGCCCAAGGAGGCAGCTTGGTCTCCAGTGCTACAGAGGCCAAATGGGAGTCACTTTTTGGAAATGTTGGCTAAGTATCCTTCCTTTTTGACTGTCCCCCTCTGGATCTCCTGCACAGGTCTGGACTTGCTAACATCCTGTGCTCAGTCTAGGATCTAATAAGTACCCAATAAATTCTTCATGTCTCTCAGAGCTAGTTTTTTTAAAAGTCATTCATTTCCATCCATAGTATAGGCCTTTTCCTACTCGCTAAAATGTCATGCGAGGAGGGGGGGGGAGAGTGCAATGCAGCTAAAATCATGCTTTTGCGAGTACTTTGAATTTCAAAATTAGGTTCCAACAGCAGCCTAATGAAAGCACTTATGATGAAGTGTTTAGATATTAAGCGTATTAAGAGGTATGTCTCTCTTCTAACAGTTCTTCAAACTGGTGCCCTCTAATTGTCTGGGGCTTTGATTCCCAGAATTCCCAGGTAGTATGATCATGGACTGAGCTGGCCTGAAATCACCTTATTCCTATTGCCCTTATTCTTCTAGCTATCAATGACTCATTATCTTGACTGCCTGATAACCAGATTTCCAAAGCAGTCCAGCGGCTTTGTAATTTTCCTCAAGCAAAACCAAATACAGATAGTCCTCAACTTATAATTCGTGTAGTGACCTTTCAAAGTTACAATGGCACTGAAAAATGTGACTTATGACCGTTTTTCACACTTACCACCATTGCAGCATCCCCATGGTCATGTAATCAATATTCAAATGCTTGGCAACTGGTTCATATTTATGAAGGTTATGGTATCACAGGATCATGTGATCACCTTTTGCAACCTTCTGACAAGCAAAGTCAGTGGGGAAGCCAGATTCACTTAGCAACCGAATTACTAACTTAACAATTGCAGTGATTCACTTAACAACTGTGGCAACAAAAGTCGTAAAATGGGACAAAACTCACTCAACAAATGTCTTACTTAACAACATAAATGCTGGACTCCATTGTAGTCGTAAGTCCAGGACTATCGGTAATAGGAGTTCCAGCTAGCTAACAGGCTTGGATGAAAGAGTTTCCCAAGTGGCTTTTCCACAAATAAGAGGAGTTGCACTGCCATGATGACAAATGCCAAAAATGCACAGAAAACCATTTCAAGTCTCCACTCTGAAGCAACAGATCTATCTTGACGCCATTATGCCATTACAGAATGCATGTGTGAATCAATCCTGTGAATGGACACACCCGATAAGAAAGGAAAGTAATTTCATGACAACAGAAGGGAAAATGTCTGCATTGACAACTGTACATCCATCAGCTAGACAGGGTATATGAGGATGAGAGAAAAACCACTTGTATAAACACTGGGTGCATTTAATAGGGAAAGCCTCTCATCATCTCCATGCTCATAAGGACAGATATCTCAGCTACATGTATGTTTAAATACTATGAAATAGAGAGAGGCAAAGAATTATATTGGTAGGATCCACTTGGAGCACTGAGTCCAGTCCCCTGGCCTAGGGGAAAAGGAGTCAAAAAAGTAAGGCTGGCAGCCACAATTGTTGTTGTTGTTGTTAATTGCGAAGTCGTGTCCGACCCATTGCGACCCCATGGACAACGTTCCTCCAGGTCTTCCTGTCCTCTACCATCTTCTGGAGTCCATTTAAGTTCACACCTACTGCTTCAGTGACTCCATCCAGCCATCTCATTCTCTGTCGTCCCCTTCTTCTGTTGCCCTCAATCTTTCCCAGCATTAGGCCCTTCTCCAGTGAGTCCTTCCTTCTCATTAGGTGACCAAAGTATTTGAGTTTCAACTTTAGGTATCTGTGTGTGCCTGTGTCTGTGTATCTTTGTGTGTCGATATGGATGCTATCTTGACTTTTTCCTTTACCTCTAACCCCATTGACATCCCCACACTGATCAGGATAGGCATCTCAATTAAAACATCCTTAAAAGATCAGAGCTTCTGTTTGAATATATCCATTTTCTGGGTAACTGATTCCATTTCTAAAAAATCAGTGGGAATTTGCCATTGTGGAATGTAAGACCATATTCTTTCAAGTCTTCCCTCTGGAACCATAGAGAATTTTTCCAGAGATATAAGAGGACTTTTTTTTATGGCCCCTTCCATTCCCCCTCCACATACCTGAATTTCAGAGACAGCAACTTCAGCCTTTTTTGAAGCTGCCCAAATAGGCCCAGCTTTAGGATGAAAGGTACAACTTGGTGCTCTAGGATTGCATACTAGTCTAAAAAGATTAAAAAAAAAAAAAAGGAATGTTCCTTCAACTGTAGCCAAGGAATTTTAGTGCTCCAAGTGACAGAAGAAGAAGATTATTAACCTGAGGAGTAATAATATTACCTGGATTTATTTATTTTTTTATAAAAAGTCCTACATTAACATTAGTTTTGTTTGTTCCTGCCCGCTTTTTGGGTCTCTGCTTTTCTATGACTGAGAAAATCCAAACCCCTAAGTTTGAAGGGCTGGCTTTTGTGGTCATAAGACCATAAGAAAAATCCTGCTGCCGGTTAATTCAGACTTTGGTTTTCAAAAATGGCCAGATATTCTGGCCATTCGCAAACTAGGAGCACACACACATAAAGGCATTTTATTTTCATAGCTGTTAGGTGATGACAGCCTTTGAATTTGTTAATATTTCCCAACAATCACCTGATTTAGTGTTCAGTTCTGGTTTTATATGTATAAATTTATTTCTTCTACTTCTGTTTCTAACCTGAAGCTCCCAGAAGTCTGGCCAATATTTCCCATAGCTGGGAATTCCGGAAACTGAACTGTAATTCAACACATCTTGATAAAATTCCAATTTGCGGAAAGATTCCCTAGCACATCAGGGAGGGAGGGAGGGAGGGAGGGAGGAAAGAAGGAAGGAAGAAAGGAAGGAAGGAAGGAAGGAAGGAAGGAAGGAAGGAAGGAAGGAAGGAAGGAAGGAAGGAAGGAAGGAAGGAAAAAAAACCATTAGGTATCACTATTGAATTATAATTTTCTCTCTCTTTTCCCCTGGAAGCAGTTTCAAGCCCACACATTCTTAAAAAAAATACATGTTTGCTAACTAATGCTAGAAATGAATTTATTGTAAATGAGTTATTAAACTTGGACATCCTGATGAAAAAATATTTATAGAGGAAACTCCTTAAATGGTTATGTGCCAATGGAATAACTCTAGTTACAGAGTACACTTCTTGGTGCAGACTGTGTAAATAAACTTGGGTAGTATCCTTACTTTCCACAGCCCATTAAGCTAATGCAATTATATTTGTATAAAGCTAGGAAAGGATTCAGAATAGCCTTGGTTCTGTCTTCAGAAACTGGGCTTGGCAAGTTGATGGTCCTCAAGCCTTCCTTTTGCAACCCAATCAGGCTAAACCATGCCCGGTGCATACATTTTCAAGCAATCAGAAGTTCAGAGGATAACACCTATTTATTATCAATCTTGGCAAATAACGTAGCCCTCACTGCACAGCTTCAACGATAGTATGTATTAACAGTGGTTCATAATCCTTCCTATTTTTTTTTTTCTTTCAAACTGTAGTTCAGTTACTGCTCAGCACAGAATATTTTGGTGCTGTGTACATAAAAGGCATTGGATCTGGACTATACTTGGCTATGGATGTCAATGGACGCTTACATGGCTCGGTAAGTATAGAGTTCCCCTGATATTAACTATAGGGAAGCTTTGAGGATGGCGAAAATCTTGTAGCTTGGAGAGCTTGGAATCAAAAATCATTCACACATGCACAATTAAATGTCACTTGTTTTGCTGCTGGGTTGATGCTTTTTGGCCAATCTTTATTTCTGGGAAAAGAAACTGAAATATTTGAAAACATTCTTAAACATTTTAGCTATTAGAAGGTAGCAGTGTTCCTCCAGATGAAACCATTAGAAGGAACTGAGACATATTTAAATCTAAACAAAATAAGGATCATCCAATAATCTGGTTTGCTGAGTTTTGCTGATCTATGACCATAATAGAAAAATTTGAAGACTTACTAACAGTCTTTCAAGATAAATGGAAAGTACCTTGCTAAGCAGCAAGGATCTGGAGCAAGAGGGTTAATTTTATCACCTGCCAAAAGGCAACAGATACTCAGACTTTCCCACCTTCTAAAATTGGACCAGAAAGAGTCAAAGTCTTCCACAATCCAAACACCATCATGATGGTCCTTTAGTGCCATAAACGGTTTTGGTCATTGTATTTACTTCCCTTCTGAATGCTACCAAACTCTTTTTTTTTAGCAGTTGCCAACAGCAGAGTGTGTGTTCCTGGAAAAGTTGGAAGAAAATAATTACAATACGTACAAGTCAAAGATGCATGCAGATAAGAACTGGTATGTTGCCTTGAAGAAGAATGGAAACAGCAAATTGGGACCGAAGACTACTTATGGCCAGAATGCCATTCTTTTCCTTCCTCTGCCAGTGTCACCTGATTAGGTTGCTTCTGCCCCACCCTTAGAAAAGTTGCCCTTTAAAATTAAGCAGCCAGTGAACTTTCCCCTTTTGTCCCTTCTGATTTGTTCTCATACTGGAAATAAAAAAATATGGACCACAAAGTACTTGAGATAGAAAATATACACTGCATCTCTAAAATGTCCATTCAGCCTCAACAATTCCATTGACATGCTATAGCATTACCTACAAATGAATCAATTAATAGCCCTAGAAAAGCATTCATCTTAGTGTATAGTTCCCATAACCATATACAGCCTATAATACAGCTTCCCACTTTGAAAGTGCATATTTAGGTCACAGCCCATTTCAAGGTGATATAAAACAGCTTTTAAGAATACTTGTGTATCACACAGAAGCAAAATCAATACTTACACTATACAACCATTTAAAACAAATAGACTGTGTGCCAAGGGCAAAGAAATATATATATTTATATTTATATAAATATAGAGTATCTTTATAGGTGAGCCGTCCTTTGCACACGGCTCCTAGCTCTTGTCATAGGTCCTAATTGATTTGGCTGTGTTCTAATTATGGCTTCCATATTGATGACTCCTCTTTTTTTGCTTCTACTGCTTGTGAGTGTGCCATTACTCACTTCTATCTCCCCCGATCTTGGATTAGGAAGGTTCTCTCCACCCCTTTTTTGGTTGGTTAGATCGTCCGTATCTCTAAATTGCTCCCTCTTCTCGTACTCACATCTCCCACCTTCCTCCTTCCTCTGCTCCTTACTTACTCCCCCGTTGCCATCCCTTATTCTATGGGGGCGCGCCCTCAGTCTTTCTCTCCATCTCGTGTTCTATATAGAATTATATTCACAATTATGAATATTTATATCATTCATATATATAATTATGAATATAATTTCCCACTCCCAAACTTTGGGTCCCTGAATTGATGTGAGGTTTTCAGTCCAGCCAGTTGTTTCTCACCATGCCAGAAAACTGATGGACACTTGAGGTAGTCCTCAAGTTACGATCACAATTGAGCCCCAAATTTATGTTGCTAAGTGAAACATTTGTTAAGTGAGTTTGCCCCATTTTACAACTTTTCTTGCCACAGTTGTTAAGTGAATTATTGCATTTATTAAATTAATAACATGTTAAGTGAATTTAGATTCCCCATTGACTTTGCTCGTCAGGTCACAAAGGGGACCACATGACCCTGGGACACTGCAGCCATGATAAATATGGTCTACTTGCCAAGCAAGTGACCGTGGGGATGTTGCAATGGTTGTAAGTGTGAAAAACGGTCATAACCCATTTTTTTTCAATGTCATTGTAACTTAGAACAGTCACTAAATGAATTGTAAGTCAAGGACTACCTGTACTTGGTTTTGTTGGAAAAAAATTACAAAGTGGGTGGACTACCTGTAAACCATAGGAACGATGCCTCTGATTAAAAGCCTGATGATAACGTTGGTACAGTATGTGGTTGAATCAACAGACTCCCTAGCTATAGTCTACAGCAGGGGTGTCAAACTGCTGGCCTACGGGCCAGTTGCATCATGCAGAGGCCGCACCCACCCCAGCTCCGGCAATGCAAAAAAAGTCACGATACATTGCGACATGTCACGTGACGTGGCAAGTTTGACACCCCTGGTCTAGAGTCATTCTTAACTGGCCTTTTTCCGTGTGAGATTTATTTATTTATATTGATTTCAAAAATGCTGTACTCCAGGTGACTCTGGGTTCTTTATGTAATAATAGCCGAACAATAAAAAGAGAATCAGATGATAAGCATTCACATTGAATACAAAAGTGGTTTACCGAAAATAGTCCCATGTAACATCATTAGTGTTGGAGCCATATGGATCTCTGGGGGAAAATGATTCCAAAGTTCTGTTAACTCTGTTGAACAGAAGAGACTTGAAGTGCATGAACTCTGCTAGATTTTATCAGATGGGCAAAAACAAGATATGCAGGACCCTTTTTAACATCCAGATCAGAGGTACTATACGGATTCATAGGTTTAATTCCAGAAATGTCTGTGGCTTTGAAAGAATAAGCCAGTGAGAGTAATTATACTATTGTTATAAAGATAATGCACATATTACATGTACAACAGCCATTCAAATGGAAGATAGGAGAGCAAGAGTTAGGAAAGGAACACTGGAGAATTGAATGAAAATTATTATCACCTTGCATATAATTCAGAATCTTCAAACTGAAAGATATGCATTGTGAATTGCTGCATTGTCCTGTGCTTGAAGCTAAGGTTTGAAGAAAAGTGCTGAAGTGCCCAATAGGTTGAATGTGAGCTGCAAAAGACAATAGCATGTTTCTCCTTAGATAAAGAGGACCCATTAGTTCATGGTCCTGGATTATGTTAGGCTACTTGCATAGAGCTCTGCTTGCTTTGGTTGTATTGGTTTGCGTACAGTGCTTCTAACTAAAGAAAATTTACAACTTAAATATTTGCCTGTTTTATTCCAATCTAGCCACTCAGGAGCCACTTAAGTAGAACAAACAGGAATAGGAAGGGGATATGGCTGTGGAACATTTTGTTCACAATGAACTGCCAGTTCCAAGTCTGGCACTGCAACTCCCTGAATACCTACAGCCCATTTCCTAACTAAAATCCCAAATCAATTTTCTGCAAAACATAATTTACCCAAGATTCAAAATGTGTTGCGTTGTTTGAGGGCAGAGACAAGATCTGATGATAGCATTGCAGAGGGCCTCAAACAGCCTGCCTAGGCCAGGGGTAGGCAACCTTGGCTCTTTTATGACTTGTGGACTTTAACTCCCAGAAGTTAAATTCTGGGAGTTGAAGTCCACAAGTCATAAAAGAGCCAAGGTTGTCTACCCCTGGCCTAAGCTATCAGAGCACAAGGTCTGTTCCTTAGAATCTAGAGCCGGGGTCCCCAACCCCCAGTCCGTGGACCTGTACCAGGCCATGGCATGCCAGCAACTGGGCTGCACAAACAAGCAAAGCCCCATCTGTGGGATGCAGGCAGCACACAAAACCACGCATCCTCCGGTCCACAGAAAAACCTCTCTCCACAGAACTGGTCCCTGGTGCCCAAAAAGTTGGGGGTCTCTGATCTAGAGGTCAAATGAAGTGCTGGATTACATGGTCCGGTGTTGCCCAATTTACTATCTCATACTCTGTCTATGAAGAGACAAAGCCTGTGTAAATCTCAGTCACTTCCTTTTGATGTTAACAGAACTGTTCATCACCAGGGAAATTCTCCTAGCATCCACCAGAAACTATCATGAACCATCATGATCGGTGTCTCCTCTAGTGATCCATTAGAATGAGCTTGGAAGATCAGATCAGATTAGATCAGGTCACCCAGGAAGAAACAACAGTAAACCACTTTTATATTGTTGCCAAGAAAACTGCAGACATGCCTATGTAGCACAAAAGTCAATCTCAGCTCAAGAAAGTATTTCCCTGTTTTAAGTGTGCATGGAGTTGTATCCCAAGTTGATACATTTCTCAAGATCGCTGTGTATCTTGGTAGGGAAAAAGTGTTGTTTGCTTTACAATCTTGTTTTTGTGGACTTAACAAATACTTGCACAAAATACTATGACGTGAATGCAGTGCCATCCACAGGAGCTCACTGTTTTTGTCAAAAAGGGGAGCATGTAATGAAAGGGAAATTAAAGCATATTGCTTAACTTTTGATCAAGCAAGCTTAGATTTCTGAGCAGGAAATCTGCAGTCAAGGATCTTAGAAATTAGCCAGCTTGAGGGCAACAAGCATAAGCACTTATTTGAAAATGCCTTCTGCAAGCTTGGAATTTTTATTTGTTCCATTGTGACCTGTTTTAACTCCTTTCAGACTTTATCCCGTCTATGATCCAAATTACCTCATTCATTCTTCTACAAACATGTAACAAAGGAAAATGCCAACTAAATGAAGATCACATCATCTTTCACTAGCTAACTACATGGCATCCTATTAAAGCCATCCTTTATTGATATGGATAAATTGCATTGTTGCATATTGTTTGATAAGGCCAATGCTCAAGTTTGTCAAGATCCTTTGGAACATTTAACCTATATTCTGAGGTGACAAGATGTTCCCCCCATCCCCACTTCTATCCCCTCATCTTAGTTATAAAACAATTATAAAAATGTTGAAGAGCATTAAATCCCATGCTGAGATACCGCCCTTCATACCTCCTTTCATAGATCCATTAAGAAGCATGCTTTGGATACAGTAGTTCAACCAGATGTGAATCATTCTGGTAGTGGAACCATCCATTCAACATTGTTCCTATTTATCAAGAAGATGGCTGTGTCAGTTTTATCAAATTACTCCCTGAAGTCTCTAGTATACTACATCCACAGCATTTTTATTTATAATCTAGTCACCCTGTCATTAAAAAAAATGCAATAAGATTTGCATGGCAATGGCCTGTGCTTTTTTAAAAAAACAAACAAACATGGTGATCTCTAGCAATTATACCTTTCTCACTGCTTTCCCATTTTTTGACAGTCTTTTCAAGCTTTTCCCAGGTACTGACCAGTAGTTTGCTTTTTTTGAAGACTTGGACAACATATAAGCTCTTCTCCATTCTTCTAGCATTTCCCCCTGTATTCAGGAATTCTCCATGACCGTGGTTCTGTTTTTGGGAAGTGCCAATTGGGCTTGAAAGTACATGCCCAACCATCAGATTTTCTTAGCAACAATATAGAAGTAATTTATCACCAACTCCTCCTGGGATTTTTTTGTTCAATTACTCAGTCTAACCTAAGCCAATCTCCTATAAGCCAATGATTATTTTGCTTGGCTTCCAAGATGAAAAAAATATCAGCTCAGTGCTGCCATCTGCTGAGACACATATGCAGACTTTAAACACATTTCTAAAATTACAAGCAAGGAAAAAAATATAATTATTAAAGTATAGTAAATTACTCCCTGCAAAGGAGGTAGAATGTCCTCTTCCATTAACACTCTCCAAGTTTAGAACTACACACATGCTTCCACTTGCCCTCATGTCATTCATTTTATGCATTTTTTTGTTATGAAAACAAATGTATTAGCATTCTTATGTACCAGCGATTTACTCTTCATATAAGATCCAACAGCTGAATATTTAAACAAAAATATAAGGTTGTGTGGGCCTCACGGGTAAATCAGATAGGACTCACAACCAGATAAACTAATTTTACTTCATTATAAACTATATTAACAGAATCTTGCAAGTCAGAAAGTACCGTCTTCCCCACTCTCTCCTTTACAGTCTGAGAACTTAGGGAACGTCCCTTCTGAGCCTCTTGCTTCCCTACTGTAAGGTTTTCCACTTAACCTCACAATTGCCCCAGCATTACTCAGGAATTTAAAAGAGCCAAAGAAACTCCTGAGCCGAGGTTTCAGCAAGCAAACAACTTTTATTTTGATCAAAACAGAGTTGGGTGACCCCATCTCTCTTCGTGGCTGGTAGAGAGATGAAGGCAACAACCAGAAAAGATGTCTTCCACCTTTTATACCTTTTCAGAACAAAGAGATCAGGTCTTGGTACCAGGCATAAGATGGCACAAAAAAGCAATTCCTAGATGATGACTCATACACAGCAACCCAGGCTCCATCCGTAACTCCTTTTCCCCCTCCCCTTACTGTGCTCTTTTCATATAAGCTATCACCTGTACCTAAAGCCTGAAGCCCTTACTTTTCCAATATATATATAAAGCATCTGATCAAGCAATTAACTACAAAATAATGATTACAAAATAACAAAACAATGATTACATGATAACACTATAATTATCAATATAAAATGGTTACTATATATAAAATAAATGCTAATGTCAAACTTAAACATACTAAAATCATAAGTACAATAAAATCCTTTCACTACTATGCAGTTGCAGGCTATGCTGTCTCTTATCTGACCATTTCCTTGCAGTATCCTTTTACCCAGTCTCCCGAGGTCTTTCCCACATATCATGTTTCCCCGAAAATAAGCCCTAGCTTGATTTTTGGGAGTGGGCCTCATATAAGTGCTACCTCAAAAATAAGCCATAGTTTTGGGGTCAGGCACACCCCTAAAAATCAAGCTAGGGCAGGGGTAGGGTGTGGAGCTGCCCTATTTCCCCTGCACCCACTTATCTTGCAACCAGGCCTCTCCTCACCAGCCCACATCTTCTGCAGCGTCCCCAGGCCTGCATTTTGCAGTTAGAGGCCTTTCCAGAAGGCCTCTGCAGCTGAGAACCAAGCTATGGATTCAATCCATAGCTTGGTTTTGCAAGGCCTCTGCAGCTGAAAACCAAGCTATAGATTGAATCCATTCCTCGTTCTCGATTGTAGAGGCCTTCCAGAAAGGCCTGACTGCAAAATGCAGGCCTGAGCTCCTTTCTGAGCAGCAGAGTAAAGCTGCTCCTTTGGCTGCAGAAGAAGTGGGCCAGCTGAGCGGGGCTGTCGATGCCAGAGGTAGGTGGAAAAGACACCCCCGCCCAAAAATAAGACCTGGTGCCTCTTTTGGAGGCAAAAAAAAATGACCGTGTCTTATTTTCAGGAAAACACGAGTGGGTTTTTTTGCTTCCAAAAGAGGCAGTAGGTCTTATTTGGGGGAATGTCTTTTTCCCCAACATCTCATGGCGGCAGCACCGACAGCCTTGTCTAGCAGGAGGCTGTATGGCCTGCCACGCCATGCCACCACCACGAGGCGAGGCAGGTGGTGGAGGGAGTGGAGCTGCCCCAAGCACCTCATAGGCATCTGGATGCTTTCCCCCCTGAACAGACATCTGAGGGAGACTAGAAGCTCCGTCTGCTTGCAAATGGGCGCTTGGAGATGGAGTTAATTGTATGGGTGTCTATCAGGCACTTGGGAACTGAGCAAATCACTTCGTTCCCAAGCACCCCATAGTTAAATGCCCAAACACTTCCCCCGCCTCTGCCTTCATGTGCAGATTTATCTGCTCTGCGCCAAGGGGCCGGTGGGCTGTGGCTGCTGCCAGGTACCATTGGCCCCATTATGCTAGCCATGCCCACCCACCCCCAGGCTTATTTTTGGTGTAGGGCTTATATTAGGCCCACCCCAAAAACTAAGGCTAGGGTTTATTTTTGGGGTGGTCTTATTTTTGGGGAAACATGATATTATTACAGGTTAGTCCATATCTACTACCATGCTGTAACTAGAATCACTTTATTTTTCTGGATAAATGTTCCTATCCTGTTCGTATCAGAGACATCATTTAAGGCACTTCCGGGATGAAAAGATTAGCCAAGTGACATCACCATTGTCCGGGGGACGCCTATAGGGGCTCCTTTCATGTCCCCATCAAGGAGCTGGAGCGAATGACGGGAGCTCACTCTGCCAAGTAACAGCACTCGAGTCTCAAACGTGGGCTCACTAACCTCCAACCCAGCATTGTAACTACATGAGCTACCGCGCTCCTTGGATAATTGTTGAAAAGGTGGGTGTAAGTATGTGTAAGAACACAGCAATTTC